GTTATGTGCCATCAACCCCTATGTACAACAGCCCTAAACCCTGCTCTATCCTGTGCCAATCTTGTTGTCTCTGACACACCTACCCCCATTAATCCAGCTACTAAACTAATCCATCTCATAGAGGGTCTACCTTTCCTGCACTGTCCCTCTAACCTCCCAAGCATGATATCCCTCTCCAAGGGGTGGTCTGTCAAAATAATAAACAGTCTGTCTTGGAGGAAGTGCAACCAAGGTGTTCCTTATAGGCAAGGATGGCGAAACTCTGTCTCATATTTTGGGCATGTTGACAGAGGTGCTAGTCTTGCAAAAAAGACAATGAAGGTGTCTGTTACTCATAGCAACAATATGAGTTGTGGTCAACCCATTGACACCTAACAACAACAGCATTTGTGTATGCTGGTTTTGGCAATCTGTATGCTGAGCAAATTATTCAAGAAGCTGAACTCTATGAAAGAGAATGTGGCATCAAGATCAGAGGAAGACTCATCAATAACCTGCTTTATGTAGATGACACAACCTTGCATGCTGAAAGTGATGACTTGAAGCACTTGTTGCAGAAGATCAAGGACTGCAGCCTTCAATATAGATTGCATTTCAGTGTCAAGAAAACAACAATTCTTACCACTGGACCAGTAGGTAACATAATGATAAGTAGAGAAAAGACTGAAGTTGTCAAGGATTTCATCTTACTTGGATCTACAATCAATATTTTTAGTGCCAGAAGTCAGAAAATCAGGAGACATCGCACTGTGAAAGTCTGCACTCAGGGATCTCTCCAATTTGCTGAAGAGTAATGATTTCAGTTTGAGGACTAAGGTTTGTCTGATTCAGTCCATGGTCTTTCTGAACACTTGCTATGCATCTGAGAGCTGGATAATGAAAAAGGACAATAGAAGACTTGATGCCTTTGAGCTGTGGTTTTGGAGAAGGTTGCTGAATATCCCATGGACTGACAAAAGAACAAACAAGTATGTCTTGGAGAAGGCACAGCCAGAGTGCTCCTTATAGGTAAAGATGATAAAGCTTCACCTTGCATACTTTGGGCATATTTCTAGGAGGCTATTCCTTGGAAAGAGATATCATGTTTAGAAAGGTGGAAGGTGGGTGAAAGAAAGAGAGACCTCAACCAGGTGGATTAACATAGTGATTGCAACAATGGGCTCTAATGTGTCAGGAAGTGTAAGGATGACCGGATAGGGCACGATTCATAGGGTCACTATGAGTCAGTCACCACTGTATGGCACCTAATAATAACAACATGTTTATATGTGTTTGCATATATATATTTACAATTATAGTTACTTCTTAGACATAACCAAACACTTTTTAAAAACATCATTTCTGTTTTAAAAACTTAGAATCATAGTCTTGTGGGATTATTCAGTCAATTGGCTCAGGGTACAGGGCACAGAAACCAGATAAATTGGAATAAAACAACAAAAACAGAAATAATGAGACTATTTGCACATTGCGAAGAAGGTAACATCGAACATCTGTGTGGAAATTGTTGAAGGGAACATACACTGCTGGATTCCCAGTATCCAATTCTTCTGGTTCAAATTTGTCTGGCATGTCATTTTAATAAAGACACACTTTATACTTGTGAAGAATGTAACCAAAACAAATAGATCATAGTATCCAATTCCTTTGGTTCAAATTTACCTAATGTTGTCATTTTTAAAAAATGAGACTATTAAAAAAAATGAGACTATTTATATATTGTGAAGAATAAGCCATGTCATGGAACAATTTGTGTAGAAATGGGTGAATGAGAGCATGAACTGCTATGTACAGCTTCACCAAATACACAATAAAGTGCTTCTTTAAAAAACAAAACAAAGAGATCACAGTATCCAATTCTTTTGCTTCTTGTTTGCCTCTGTGGTCACATACATATAACCATATGCTGTTATTGTTGTTAGGTGCCATTAACCAAAATTGGCATAGTGATTGCAGCAATGGGCTAAAGTATGTCAGAAATTGTGAGGATGGCACAGAACAAGTCAGGGTCCAGATCTGTTGTTCATAGGGTCGCTATGGGTGGTACTTGACAGCACCTAACAACAACAGGTCATTTTAAAACTATTTGACTCATCATAAGGTTGCACAATTTGATGGGTGGAGGGGAGTTTTTATAAGAAACGGGAAAGACCTGGTATGAAAAACAATTTGAATAAATCATTATAATTTTTTTTTTTTTTAAAAGATAACACTACCAAGGGAGCTCTGGTGGCTTAGTGGCAGGAAGCTGCACTGCAATACCAGCAGTGTGAGGCTCGAATCCACCAGATGCTCTGCTGGAGAAGGAGGGACAATCTCCTCCTGTTCCAGTCAGATCTGATTTGACGGTACACACACACAAAATAATAAAATAAATTTTAAAAATTTAAAAAAGATAACACTACCAAAAAATTAAAAACATTTTAAAAATAATCTCTTTGACTCTTCCTTTCATATCAAGAGTATACTTACACTTCATCGCTCTCCACTTGAATTTGACCGGTTTGTGATTATTTTAACCAACAGACAATGGTGGGGGGAGAGAAACCCCCAAAAAAACCCACTATGTGACTTCTAAGGCTAGGTCAAATTCAGCCATAGGCCATAAAGGGTCTGCTACAACACACACTCTTAAGAGCCCTTGGAGCTGCCAGATAAGAAATTCAACTACTCTGGCTCATTTGTCAGTAGACAGCCCATGTAGGCATGCTGGTTTCTAAGTCACCTCAGTTTACGCACCAGGTATTGCTATTGAAGAAATCATTTTAGAAGTAGGCCCTCCCTGCGGGGGATCCAGACATAAAATACAAGAAATTGCCTCTGTTATCCCGAGCCCTGGTGACACAATGTTTCTCATGCATGGCTGCTAAGTAAAGAGTTACTAACTCACCAGCTACTCCACGGGAGAAAGCTGTGGCAATCTGTTTCTATACAGATTGTGTTGTTGCACGGTTCAGCCTGAATCGATTTACACTTGACCCTCAAGCGGGTTTTAAGGGCAGCTGGCAGTAAATCGCACAGAAGACTGCTGATTTTACTCCTGCGGAGCAGCTGGTGGATTCAAACTGTGTGCCTTTGGTTTGGCGCAACTTGTTACCACTTGTTGCATCAGAGCCTTGGAAATCCCATCGCGAGGTTCTACGTCTGCAAGGACAAGGCAGCAGCGGGGGGTGGCCGGCCTTCACTGTTCCTGACGTGTACAATACATGAACATTTTAAAAGTAAAAGGCTGTCCACTGTGGTTTACTAACAAAATGGTAAAGAACAGGAGCATTTGTGTAGTTTTCACCCTTTTTTTTATCGAGTGTTCTGGTTATCTTTGTTTTGGGGTTTTGTAAACACCACGTTGTGGGATACTGGGGTTTATTTCTCTTATCTGAAGCCCGCTAAATCAGATTAGTGGCTTAGACTGAAAATCCGCCACAGCACTGCATACTCACACTCCTTCCCTTGGGAATCCTAAATCCGCTGTAGTCTAGGTCACGGACATGAGATCTAACCCCAACCTCTTCCACCTCCGGCTACTTGTATCTCTTGATTTCCAATATCTTCCAGACCTGCGGCCGCTAAGAGAAACGCGCACGATCCCTTTTCGGTCTGGCAGGCTGGCAACCAGAAGAGCGATGGGGAAAGGCGCAGGAGAAGCGCTGCCGACCGTCTGCGGGCGCGCAGGGCTCACCTCGCGCGCATGCGCGGCGGCGCCGAGGCGAGGTTTCTGGGAAGCTGAGGCACGGTCGGTTCCGGACGGGGTTTCTGGGGACAGACTGGAGCCGTGGGACGGGCGGATACGCTGTGCTTTCCTAGGAAAGCAAGCGCTGAGCCTGGAGGCCGCTCGGCAGCGCCAGGCCTGGCGAGCGGCGCAAGCCCCCTCGGGCCGCCGCCATTGTTGTCCTGGCCTCGCTAGCGCTCCGCGGCTCGGCCGCCAGTTGCACGACAGGTAACGATGTCCCCGGCGCCGGTGTGAGTGTCTGCGCTGTCTGGCGGACGCCGGGGCTGCGAGGAGGGCGACGGCGAGTGAGGCCCCGGGGCCGGGCCCGGGCCCGCTGCCCTGCAGCCGGAGGAGAAACGTCGGGGTAGAGGAGGAGAGGCCTGGGCATCTCCTGGCGGGGCCCCGCGGGCAGTGGGCCACCCGGGTGCCGCCGGAGCCACCGCGCCCGCCCGGTGGAGAGGTTTTTCTTGGGAAGTCCGGCTTCTTCTTTCCCTAGAGGACTTGCCTCCTGCAGATGCTCTGACCAAACCCAACCTGACTCGGTGCTGGCGGGTCCTTTCCAGCTGGAAGGCTGCCCGGAGCACCCACCTCCACCGCGGGCTTCCTTCCAGCTCCACAGGCTCGCTTTGCAGCCGCAGCGCCAGGGAAGGCGGCAGAGCGAGTAAATGGCTTGCCGCCCCCCCCCCCCCCCCCCCCCCCCCCGCGCCCCCAGACTGCTTCTCTGGGAATCTTGAACACTTTAGTAAGGCATTTGCTCAATTAATTCCAACTAACAATAAATAGACTCTCTTTATTACTGAGAGTCAGTGCAGCCATTACAGCTTTTGTAAGTAACATAAGTTACTAAAATCTGGGACTTATAAAATTCTGTTTTCCACAAATTTTAAGTTTATTTGGCATTTTAACGTGAAGGTTTTGCTTTCATCACCACATTTTTTATGGCAACTTACCTCTCTCCCCTCCCAAGCAGCTTGCATGTTCTTAAATAGGGAAGCGAGACCAAGGAGAAAGCCTGTGTTTATCTGTAGACTCTGTAAAGTGTATATATGCATGAGTGTATAGCAGAGAATGCTAGGAATCCTTGACCTCATGGCCCATTCTTGTGTTTCAGGGTCTCTTACCCATCCCTACAAGTTCTGACCCAGGATTTGTGACAAAGGCTGCTAGCTCTCCTTTGACCTGTTCAATCCTTGATCTAGTGTATTTGTGTCTCTAGCATGAGACTTCAAGCAGTTGGCTTACAACTAGAAAAATAAAGGATATTGCCAGGTTGGCTCTCCTGTCCAAAGCAATGTTAGCCCCGAGCAAGAGGATGACCAATTCTTTGCACTCCCAGATCTTTCTAATGTGGAAGCCAGATAAGACTCAGAATGGATTCCAAAATGCTGAGGAGGAAGCTTCCAGGCTCTCACATGACACTGAGACCTGCCGACAGAATTTTAGAAATTTTCCTTACCCAGAACTGTCTGGACCTCGAAAGGCATTGAATCAACTCAGAGACCTATGTCTTAAGTGGTTGAGGCCTGAAATTCACTCAAAAGAACAGATCTTGGAGCTGCTGGTACTAGAACAATTCCTGACCATCCTGCCTGGAGAAGTTAGGACTTGGGTGAAGTCCCAGTACCCTGTGAGCAGTGAAGAAGTGGTGACTCTGGTGGAGGATTTGACTCAGATTCTGGAAGAGGAAGGTGAGAGTCATAGATCCAAGATGGGAGGTTAATGAGGAAAACCAGCACATCAAAGAGCAGCCCTTTTAAAGAATTTGGGGAAGAAGGAGCATCATTGAGTGCACTAGAACAAGGCTTTGACAAGAGCTTCCTCTTGCTTTGATGTTCTCCTTCTACATTGTTTGGGACAAGATACATGTTATCTAAAGTCAGGAGATATGTCATAAATGGGATGACCAGGTACACACACATTGCCTCTGTGTGAACCTTCTGAACATTCTCTGCATTTTTGTACCATTCTGCCAGTCATTTGCTTTGCAAATTGGATTTTACAATAACATACTTCCAAAACCACTAAAAAGGGCACAGAGAACATTTTCTTATTACACAGAGGCAATTCATATGCATTTACACTACATAAGAATTCAGTGGGGAATTGTGAATTTGGTGCAGACTTCTCAGAGCCTGCATTATTGTCTTAAGTCTCTCTGATTCTTAAAGGCAAGGGTCCTATTTTGTGGTACCTCTAACTTTTTTTAAAAGCATCTGTATATGATGAGGAATTTCTTAACTGAGGAAACCAAGGCTTTTGAAGCAAGACTTACCTCCATCATGGACTCTTTCTTTTCCCTAGCTGATCTTCAGAACTCTGCCTTTTCCCAAGAAACTCCAGTGGAAGATAGGCCCACTGCTTTCCCGGCGAGGTGGCTGAATGACTTGGTGACCAAAGTGAGTTTGAGTTTCTTCTGTGATTTTAAAATGCATTCATAGTGTGCAAGGATATTTCTTTCCTTTCCTCACTCAGAAATTTCTGTGATATAAATGGTGTTATCTAGGGCTGAAACTTCATTTCTTACTGCCTTCCTTCGTGTGCCTCTACTCACTCTTTGTGTAAACCAGTAATATTGGCATTGAGATTAAAGGATTGACCTCCAGAGACAGGTGGAGAGAGGTGTAGTTCATGAGTCTGCCATTGAATACATGACTTGAGCAAAATATTTAGCCACTTAGCCTGAGCTTTTCCAACTTTAACAAATAGAATTTTAGATTGTGATGATTAGATATTACTTTATCTGGGTTATAAAAAGCAATTAATAGGAAAGATTATTGTTACCAGTTGCCATCTGTTATTGTTAGGTGCTTTCAAGTTAAGTACAACTTATAGTGACCCTATGAACAACAGACCTAAAACCTGCCCTGGCCTGTGCCATCCTCATCATCGCTGATACACTTGAGTCCATTACTGTAATCAATGTGTCTGTCCATCTCACTGGAGGTCTTTTGCCAACCCTTCAGCTTTCTAAGCTAGATGTCTCTTTGCAAAGAGCAACATGCCTGAAGTATGAGGGATGAAACTTGGCCACCTTTGCCTCCAGGGAGCACTCTGGCTGCATTTTTTTCTAAGACATATCCGTTTGTTCTTTTGGCCATCCAAGGGATATGCAGTACTCTGTTCCAGCAACACAATTTAAAGGCATCAGTTCTTCTTCTGTCATCCTTATTCATTTTCCAGCTCTCAGATGCATGGCAAGGGATCAGAAAAGACCATGGTATGAATCAGGCACATTTTAGTCTTCACACTGACATCATTGCTCTACAGTGTTTTGGAGAGATCCCATACAGCAAACTTGCCAATTAGAATACCTCTCCTGATCCTCTAACTCCTGGCACCAAGAGTGGTGATTATTGACCCATCCAAGATGAAATCATTGACAACTTCAGTCCTTTCTCTATCATGATGTTGCCTATTGGCCCAGTGGTGAGGATTTTTGTCTTCTTAATGTTGAGATAAAATCCATATTGAAGGCTCCTTAATCTTCTACAGCAAGCATTCAGGTCCTCCTCACTTTCAGCTTGCAAGGTTGTGTAATCTGTATAATGCAAGTTATTGATGAGTCTCCTGATCCTTCTGATGCCACATTCCTCTTCATGAATTATTTGCTCGGCATACATATTGAATAGTATTAAGGATACATCCCTGGTGCATATCTTTCCTGATTTTAAACAATACAGTGTTCCCTTGCTCCATTCAGGCAGTAGCTTCTTGGTCTGGATATAGAGTCCCGTGTGAGTGTTGTGGGATTCCCATTCTTCTCAATCTTAACCATAATTTGTTATGATCCACACAAATTGCCATCTAGTTAGTTCCATTTCACAGTGATTCTGTATACAAAATACTGTCCATTCCAGAACTATCCTTATAGTCATTACTTGAACATATTTTTCAGCCTCTATGTCCATCCCTCGGGGTTTTGTTTCTTGTTATAATTGTTGTGGCTTATTTTTATTGCATTAAACAGGTTTTTTTATTCATATACATTGTATTTCACCTATTCCTTCATTCACATTGTGTTTCATAAGAACATTTCCGTACATTGTGTCTCACAAAGTTAGTCACCCAAATTGATCTATGCCCATAGATCTTCCCTAATTCCTTCACCCCTCTCTACTCACCAAACTCTGTGGTCCCAGGATATTCCTTCTCCCTCACTCCCAGCCCCCCTTGTCCTCTGCCCTTCCCTCTTTGGACAGTTATGCACATCTTATTCTTCTATTTTTACAGTAATGGTCTCATGCAGTATTTATCCTTCTTATTGTTGTTGTTGTGTGTTGTTGTAACTTACCCATAAATGACCCTCTTGTGGATTTTTTCAGAGGCAGTTGATCACATGGGAGAAGATTGCCTATCTTCTCCCATGGAGCAGCTGCTGAATTTGAACCATGAGCCTTTGGGATTGCAGTGCAGTTTCTAACCAGTTTCTAGGCTACCGGATTTGTCCTTAGGAGACTGAATTTGTTTACTGAGCTTTCTGGTCCCTCCCATGTTGATAGTATTTTTCAAAATTGTTACTTGTAAGTGCTTCATAGTATTCCATTATATCAATGTACCACAGTTTCTCTATTTATTCATTTGTTGATGGTATGCCCAACCATCTTTTGAAAGTCTCTTTTTGGTTAGTGCACTACTTACCCAAGTATCAGGTCCTTCTCTGAGGACTGCCCTTCTTGATTACATGTTCAATGTAGTTGAGATGAAGTCTGGCTATTCTAACTTTTAAGGAGCATTCTGGGTATTCTGGCTATACTTCTTCCAAGAGAGATTTATTCAGTGTTTTGGAAAACCATAGAATATTCAATATTGTGCACCAGCACCATAATTATAATGCATCAATTCCACTTCAGTCTTCCTTTTTCATTGTTCATCTTTTGAATACGTATGAGACCCTGGCTTGAATCATGTGAGTACAGTACTCAAAGTAACATCTTTTGAAAACTTTAAAAAGGTCTTTTGCAGCAGAGTTTCCCAGTGCAATATATCTTTTGATTTCCTAACTATATTTCTGTGACACTAATTAAGAATCTAAGGAAAATTAAATCCTAACATCTTTACTGTTTTCTCTAGTTGTATTTCTCTCATTAGTCCAGTTGTGAGATTTTTTTTGTTTTCTTTATATTAAGGTTCAACCCATATTAAAACCTGCAGTTTTTTTATCTTCATTAATTGTTCTTCTCTTTCAGCAGGCAAGGTTGTGTCATCTGTGTATCATGGGTTTTAATGAGCCTTTCTCTGCCCCTTATGCCAAATTAATATAATTCAACAGATTGAATAAGCATAATTAAAGTCTACAACCCTGATAGACAGCTTTCTTAAGAATTCTTTTTTCTATTCAAATGACAGCCTTTTGGTATATGCACAAATAAGGTTACGGAATTCCCATTCTTTAGTCTTGTCCCTATAATCCATAGAGTATAATGTCTTTGCATAGTGAATAAAATACAAATAAACATTTTTCTGATATTGTCTGCCTTTAACTGAGATTCATATGATATCGGCAATTATATCTCTCCTTCACATCATCTTCTGAATCCAACTTGAATTTCTGGCAGTTCCTTTTACTGCTGCAACCATCTTCAGCAAAATTTTACTTACGGGTTGCAAAAAATGATAATGTCCACATTTTGTTGGATCACTTTTCTTTGGAATAGGCATAAATACAGATCTTATCCAGTCAGCTGGCCAAGCAGCTATCATCCAGATTTCTTGGCATAGATAAGTTAGCACTTCTAGTCTTCTATCCATTTTTTGAAAGTATCTTCATTGGTATTCTATCAACCCTGGAAACCTTGTTTCTTGCCAGTACCTTCAGTACAATGTGGATTTATTCCTTTAAAGTTACTCTGTGTGTTCTTTTTCTCTTCTTTTTATATTTTATTTATTGTTCAATATTTAGTTCATAGAATGCTTCATTATTGCAACTGGAAACATGAATTATTTTTCTTCATTTAGCTAGAGTGTATTTTTTCTTTTTGATTGTCTAACTTCATGTCTTTGACATTTCACTGTAATTTTTCTTTGCCTTCTCAAGCTACCCTTTGAAAACTCCTGTTCAGCTCTTTTATTTCATCATTTCTTCCACTTGCTTCAGTTACTCTACATTCAGAGTGAAGAGTCTTCTTCTGGCATCTGTTTTATGCTTTTCTTTTTTTCCTATATTTTCAATGACCTTTTACTTTCTTCCTGTCTGATGTCCTTGATGCTTTCACATAACTAGTCTAATTTTACTGTTGGTAATCAAATATAAAGATGGTACTGCCTTGAGAGCAGAAAATGGGACATGGGGGCACAGGGCTGTGAGCTTCCCTATTAAAGGAGTGAGACTAGTGCAGCCCCTCACCACCCCAGAGCAGAAAGCAAATAAAGAGCCCATAGACCAGCCCCATGGTGTCACACCAATACCAAAATGTTCATTTATTTGCTGTTGACTTACAGATATTACTCACAGTTGTGGTACCCAGAATGAAGTTTATTAGTTAGGGAATTAAGTTGGAGAGTGGAGGAAACAAAGACTATATCACCCAATGCAAATCCAGGTTTTAGCTCAGCAATCCCAAAGCACACAGTTCCTCAATTAGTCCAGGCTCTGGTTTCAGTTCAGCAACACAAGTTCAGGAAGCTTCTGCTTTCCTCAATCATTCAGCAAAGTTTGCCTCAGAGCACTTATTAGTCAGTTTTTCCTTAATTATCTGGCAAGCACAGCAAAACCTTTTATTACTGTAGCCTTTATCTCAGGGTTCCTCTCGTTACACCTTGCCACAATTTCACCACAGCAGTGCCACAGTCTCACCACCACCATCACCAGGGTCTTGCTCCAGTCTTCTTCAAGTCTTGCTGCTCAGGATGGGAAACACACTCTTATCCTAGTCCCACAGTTGTTGATGATTTGCAGCACCATGTGTCTGCAGTTAAGATAGCTGGCGGCAAGAGGAGCCTAAGGTAATGGCTAAAAAAGCCAATTTTAGTCTAACACTACAGATATATTCAGGGTTGTAGTTTGGCTTTCATAGACTTGTTTTTGTTTGCTTCAGCTTCAGCTTGAACTTCATATAAATAATTGGTCATCTGTTCCACAGTTAGATCTTGGCCTTGTTCTGACTGATGATACTGAGCTTCTCCAACCTTTCTTTTCATTTTTATAATCCATTGCATTCCTGTATGTTCTATCTGGTGAGATCCATATTCCATCTGTGTGTTCCATCTGATGAGATCCATGTGCATAGTCTCCATTTTTGCTGTTGAAAAAAGATATTTGCAAAGATTAACAGATGGCCTTTCAAAATTGTGTCATGCACTCTCCAGTTCTTTTCTGTTACCAAGGCCTTATTTTCCAATTACTGATTCTTCTTTTTTACTTACAGCCTTTGCTTTCCAATCACTAGTAATTATCAATGCATGTTGATTGCATGTTTGATTAATTTTAGACTGCAGAAATTGATAAAATTCTTCAGTTTGTTCATATTTGATGGTTCAGAATAGATCTTGAAAAGTTCTTTTCAGCAATGAAGGTGACACCATCCTTCAGTGTTATTATTTCCTCATTAATAACTAATTTAAGACCATGTGCTCTGTTCTATTACTTTTTGACAATAAAGTTATTTTAACTCACAGGAGTTCTGAATCACGTTAAGAGAAAAGTTTGTGTGAAATATTGGGAGTTTGAAAGCCTTTTATAATGAGGATAAAATTATTTTTAAGTAATTTAAATGTTTGCTTGGAAAATCTTAAAATCAAGGAGGAGATTATTAAAAACCATATTAGAAAAAGTTATTAGGTGATGGTTTCAGAAATTAATGTGAAATATTTTTTAAAATTAGATGGGAAATAAAATTAAATAAAAGATCTTATTTACATTATGAATGTTCCAAATCTAAAAATTCTTAAGACTAAGCATAGTAAAAACTGTGCCATACCCATGTAAAAATACTGTATTTTATAGGTCACAAAAGAATTTAAAAAGGAAGAAGAGCGAAGAGAAATTCTAATGCTATCAGATTATAAAGTATGTCTAAAAAGTACAGCATTTCAGCAATGTGCTAACTGATACTAGTTTCTTATAAAACTTCAGAACTTCATCTCACAAATGCACAAAACTTAAAATTTCAAATATAGTGACATAGATTTATTCTTAAAACAAGCCTAGAGAAGCAATCCTGTTTAATTCCATATATGATCTATGTTTAAAATCTTCCATTCTTTAAAACAGAGCCCCAAATGCATGTATTTTTGTCAATAGGAAATTCTAATTTTTACTTTTCTTTCAAAATTCCTTTTAGTGTCTTTTATCACTGATAGATGACAGGACCATTCAGGGATGCTATGAAGTCGCTAATTCTTTGGACATTTGATTGATAGTTCTGACTAGGTAACCTTTGGACTTCTACTGAAGTTAGATTCTGCTCTTCCCCACAACCACAAGGACACACATCACTGTCCTCTGCCTCACTAGTGTGTGAACCTAGTTAAGCTTTATTTGGTGTTTTAGGAATCAATGACCTTCAATGATGTGGCTGTGGACATCACCCAAGAAGACTGGGAGCTAATGCGTCCTGTGCAGAAGGAATTGTACAAGACTGTAACATTACAGAACTATTGGAACATGGTTTCCCTGGGTAAGGATAGTCTACTCCCTAGAGTATATTTCTTCCTCAGTTATTAAAAATGGATTGATCCTCTAAAGTACTTAGTTAAGAATGAGATCTTAGGGATGCATGTTCTCATCCCATTCAGGCAAACAAATCATAATGTTCTACCTCCTCGTCCCAAGCAAAAGGTTTCTAAGTAAAATTTCATTGAGAACGTTGATGCACAGCTTCATGCTGTTGCCTTGTCCATTCTTAACTGCCCTAAGTGAGAGATCCTTCCTCCATGATATCTCTCTCTCTTTCTCTCTCTCTGTATATAAAAATATATTTTGGAAGCAGCACTGACATCCACTTCTAACATCATGCCTCTGGAAACTATGAACTTTGATGAACAATGATAGTTACAGAAAGGCTTCCAGTCTTTTGTTCATAGGGTCATTATGAGTCGTGCGCAACTCAATGACAATCAACAACAACATACATATTTTAGCAGCACACTAAATACACATTTTATTCTGTAAATGCATTAAAATTCCATCTGGAAGCTTTACTGACAAGGCCTTCCTGGAGATTTTATATAGGAAGTAAATTCAGTTTCTGCACATAGTGCCTGCCTCATGGTGGGCTCCTGGTAAATGTTTGTTGAATAAACGCTTTAGGAAGGGACTGTCTCTATGATGTCTGGGGATATCTTGGGGGAGGGAGTCGGCTTTTAGGAGCACAAATAGACTTGCTTATCTTGTGTGTGCAAAGAGAATGAAGGTGAGACTTGGGCAGCCCCATCCTGTGCCCCATTTGGAATTACTGTTGGGTTCATGAGGAGGGGGCAGGGGAGAAAAAGAAAGTATCTTAGCAAACTTTATATTTTTTCCACCTTTATATATTTTTATCTTTTACTATAAAGAACAATTACCTAATTTTCTTTATTAGATTGTATCCGTGAACTATTTCTCTGATCAGTAGGTTAGATAATAAACTCCAAACAACTATTTATCTCCAGAATAAACTTCATTATATTTCTTCTGAACAGGACTTACAGTTTACAGACCAAGTGTAATTCCCATATTGGAAGAACCATGGCTGGTGATAAAAGAAATTTTAGAAGGCCCTAGTCCAGGTGAGTGAATAATGAGTATATGAGATAGTTTACACTTAACATCTTTTTCCTTAATATGAAAGAAATACATAGTTTTTATTATGGTCAAGAAAATTCTCCACAAAGACATATCAACCTCTCAAGAAGACGTAACTATTTCTCATCTTCTCAAAAAGAGATTATCTAGACATCGCTAAACTTTCCTTTGTTTCTCTTCTTCTTTATCTCTGTACCTAGTTCCTACAGACTATCCCATAGAGCCCAGTTTAGGGCTTTGATTTTGCCATGTTCCCCCTCCCTTCTTTGTATTCAATCATACATGAATGTCTCCTGAAAAACTAAATGTAAAGCTTTCTTCTTTTGGATTTTCTCTTATTCTGTCTACTCACAAACCCTGTAGCATCCACCTCTACTTTCCTAACCCAATCTCTTCTTTTTTCCATTTTATAGTTCTTTAAATAGATAATACATTCACAATGCTCAAATATATGTAGTTTGTTGTTGTTGTTATGTGCCGTTGAGTACGACTCATAGCGACCCTATGAACAAAAGAAAAGATCTGAACCTAGTCCTGTCCTGCCCCATCCTCACTTCCCAACACACAAGAGCTCATTGCAGCAGCCACCATGTCAATTCACCTGGTTAAGGGTCTTTCCCTCCTTCGCCGAGGCTCCACCCTTCCCAATATCCTGTCTCTCTCCAAGGACTAGTACCTCCTAGCAATATATCCAAAGTATGTGAGGCAAAGCCTGATCATTCTTGCCTCCAAAGAGCACTCTGGCTGCATCCTCTCTAAGACATATCTATTCATTCCCTTGGCTGACCATGGGATGTTCGGTGCTCTTCTCCAACATCATAACTCAAAGACATAAATTCATTTCCTTATTCTTTGTCCAGCTCTCAGATACATAGCAAGTAATTAGACTATGGCCTGAATCAGATGTACTTTAGTCCTCAACCTGACATCACTACTCCTCAATAATTTGGAGAGGTCCCTAACTGCAGATTTTCCCAGTGCAGTGTGTCTCCTTTTTTCTTGACTGTAGCTACCTAGGGGGTTAATAGTGGATTCAAGCAAGATGAAGCTGTTGGCAGTTTCAGTCTCCTCTCTATCCATCATGACACTGGTAAAAAATCTTTGTTTTCTTAACATTGATATGTAATCCATACCAAAGGCTACATTCCTTGATCTTCTGCAGTAAGGGCTTCAAGTCCTCATTTCAGCAAGCATGGTTGTGTCATCTGCATAATGCAGGTTATTGATGAGTCTCCCTCCAATCCTGATACCACACTCCTTCTCATAGAGTCCAGTTTCTCAGAGAATTTTCTCAGCATACAGATTGAATGGCTTTGGAGAGAGAATATAACCCTGAATATAACTTCCTTCCTAATTTCAAACCATGTAGTACTTCCTTGCTCTGTTTACCCAACAGCCTCCTAGTTTCTAGGTATGGGTTCCACATGAGCACAATCAAGTGCTCTGGGATTCCCTTTTCAGTGTAAGTTACAGCTTGGTATGATCCATACAGTCAGATGCTTTGGCATTGTCAATAAAGCGTGAATAGACAACCTTCTGGTATTTCTTGCTTTCAGCCAGGATCCATCTGACATCAGCAATGATATCCCTGGTGCCATGGCCTCTTCTAAATCCTGCCTGAACTTCTGACAGCTCCCTGTCTATGTACTGTTCTATCCATTTTTTAATGATCTTCAGCAATATTTTGCTTTCTTATGATATCAGTAATATTGTTTGATAGCTTCCACATTCAAGTAGATCACTTTTCTTGGGAATGGTAACAAATAAGGACCTCTTCCAATCCATTGGCCAGCATCCTCCAAATTTCCTGGCATAAACTGATGAGTGCATCCAAGCCTGCTTCTGTTCATTGAAACAAGTCAGTTGGTATCCCATCAATTCCTGGGGCCTTATTTTTTGCCAATGCTTTCAATGCAGCTTTCATTTCCTCCTCCATTACCATTGGCTCCTGCTCATATGGTACTTCCTGAAATATTTCCGTGTCAGTCATTTCTTTCTGGTACAGTGACTCCACATTCCTTGCATCTTTTTTTTTTTCATGCTTTTTGAGTCATTTAGTATATTGCCCATAGCATCTTTCAGTATTGTGGCACAAGGCTTATATTTGCTTTTCAGCTCTTTCAGCTTGAAAAATGCAGAGTAAGTTCTTCCCTTTTTTTCCTCCAATTTCAGCTTTCCATTATAATACTTTGTTTTGTCCTCCTGAGCTGCCCTTTGAAATCTCTTCAGCTCTTTTCTTAGACATGTTTTCCTTTAGTTTTGGCTTCTCGATGCTTCAGTGCAATCTTTAGAGTCTCTTCTGACATTCATTTTTTCTTTCTCCTCTGTTTTTGTGATAACTTTTTGAGAGCTGGACAGTGACTAGGGATGATAGAAGGAGAATTGATATCTTTGATCTGTGGCGCTGGAGAAGAGTATTGAATATATCATGGATGGCTAGGAGAACAAACAGGTTTGCCCTAAAGCAGGTAAGACCAGGCTGCTCCTTGGAGACAAGGATTCTGAAGCTTCATCTGACATACTTTGGACATGTTGCAAGGTGGAACCAGTCCTTGGAGAGGGTCGTCATGTTTGGGAGGGTGGAGGGATAGCACAGGAGAGGAAGACCCTTGATGAAATGGATTGATTCAGTGACTGGGTAATGGGCGTAGGTGTGTTAGAAACAATGAGATTGGCACAGGACAGAGCCAGGTATAGGGCTGTTGTACATAGGGTCGCTATGAGTCACAGGCAACTCAATGGCACTAACAATGACAACATATCAGCCATCCATGCAACATGTCATTGTTCAGCTCTCTTGACACATAGCAAGTAATTGCAAAGACCATGGCCTGGATCCGGCACACCTTAGTCTCCAGACTGACATCATTGCTCTTCAGTACTTTGGAGAGGTCTCTGACAGTAGACTTTCCCAATGCAATTCATCTTTTCATTTCCTAGCTGCTGGTTCCAAGAGTGTTGATTGTGGAGCCATCTAAACTCAAGCTGTTAACAATCTCAATCTCTTCACCGTCTATCATCACCTATGTGCCATTTTATTCTTTCCAAGTTTTATTCTTTTCCCAATTTCATTTACCCATTTCCCAGTTTCTACATTGCCCCAACATTCAGCCACTATTACTAGTTTTTATTTCATCCTTTCAAGATTGATTGTTTTGTTTTACATGTGAAGCTAATATGAAAACATTCTCCTTTTTTCCTTCACTTTTAAATATAAACAACATACCCTTGAAGAGTAGTATAAATTCATAAAGAGCTTCCTTTTTTAAAAAATAATTTTAATGAGCATTTACGATTTATGAGCGATTTTGAATTTCCATTCATTCATTGCTGCACTTCTCTCTCCACCCAGCCCCCCCCCCCCAGTTCCCCTCTTTCAAAAGTAAAAGAAACACTCCCTCCCTGGTACACAATCCCCTTGCACCCTTCCCGCCCCCCCCCCCAAGTACATTCCACTATGCAACATTAATTGTGGACTCTTGTGATAACCATAATACCCTATCATACATCGCTTTTAAATTATTCACTCCCTCATCTGTTTTAATGCAGTATACACAATTTATCTAGTTTTTCTGTCTTACGCCAACCCTGATATCAGTCCCATTTTACAACAGTGGCACCGTGCAATATTTGTCCTTTTGCGACTGAGATATTTCACTCAGCATAATGTCCTCCAGGGTCACCCATTTTGAATAATATTGCATGAGTTCCTTGTTTTTCAATGCAGCGTAGTAGTCCATTGTGTGAGTATACCACAGCTTTCTATCCATTTGTTTGTTGATGGGCACCTGGGTTGTTTCCAGCTCCTTGCTATTGTGAACAGAGCCGCGATAAACATGGGTGTGCATATATCTGCTTGGATGTCAGTAAGAGCTTCCTTTTTTTAAAAAATCTGCAGTATATTTCACTGTGTTTACAATTTAGCAAATCTCTTCTTGATTGATAAGCTTTTTTTGTTGTTTTTATTTCTTTCTTAACCTCCACAACTTCATTTTGAAATATTTTAAGCCCCAGTGCAGTAACAGCCAAACTCTATCAGATACCATATTCTTTTCATTAGAATCACTTGTTATTACCATTTAGGGCTTTTGCATCTCTCTCTTGACACATACACTGAATCATTTGAAAGTTAATTCCAAATATCTTAACATCTCAATCATAAATATTTCAGCATATATCTCCTAATACTATGAACATTCTTCACAAGCATAACATCATTATCACACTCTAAGAATTTAACATTTATTCAGTCCTGTCATTTGCTAGTAGTCAAATACTCAGTTTCCTCAATTTCCAAAATAGATTATTACCTGTGTTTCACCGTAGTCAGAATCTGGTTAGGAGCCACGTGCTCCACATGGAATCTCTTGATCTAGAGCTATTCGCCTACCTTTTTCTTTCTTTTCTTTTTACCACTTATGGTATTAGTACTGATTTTTATAATATTATATGATGTCCTATAATCTAGATTATTTCCTCATGTGTGAATTCATGAATATTTATGCTAACAATTCTGTGTAAGTGTTGTGTGTTTTCTGTTGCCTTTTTCTCAATGTGCACATCAATTTGTCTCATCAATGGTGCTTGCCAGTTTTACTAAGGTGGTGTCTATGAGATCTCTCCATTTTTCTTCTTTGTTTTTAAAATCTGCAGCCTGATAATTCATGAGAACTCAAGACTATCCTGTTTCCTGAAAGCTAACCTTTTCCTGGAGAGTTTTAACATCCAGTGATATTTCCTGCCTATATCTACTATTATCTCACTAAGTAGCATAATGGTGATTTACTAATTTATTTGTCTCTTCTAAATAATTAACTATAAAGAGGAGCTCTCTCTCTCCTTACTTAATTTTTATGTATCTATATCATAAAAGGCGCATTGCCATGGGAAAGTCTGCTGTTAGGGACCTCTCCAAAGTACTGAAGAGCAATGGTGTCTCTCTGGAGACTAAGGTGCATCTGATACAGGCCATGGTCTTTGCAAT